CGCAAGGGAGAAGAGCAGTTGCACTACACCTCTGTGAGTGGTGCAACCACCCAGGAGCCAACCCACCACTGCCTCTGCTTCAATCGGAGCCCCAAACCCCACACCACGGGCATCTACAGCTGGGCGCTTGGAGGTGAGACTGTGTCTGCACCCACCCCACGCTCACCCCAGGATAGGCACTTCGTTCCCTGGGAGTCCTGAGGTGGCTGCAGCCATTGCCCTCAACCCATACCCTGCCCATACATGGACACACGGACCACGGCCTCCAGTAGTTCTCATGAGCGCTCTTAATTAATAGGAGAGGGCTCCCAGGCAGATCTCAGCGATGTCCCCAGCCCCCTGCTTGTCCTCAGAGCCACTTGCAGTTATCAGCCACGACAGTCTCATCTCTGTGGCCCCCTCAGGCTGTCTTCTTCACAACATGGATGAAGTAGCAGGGGATGTGGGCCTGTCCTGGGCTGTAGGGCTGGAAGTCCCCCAGGACGCTGTGCTGGCACTTCCCCTGGAAGGCGCCTTTCAGCAGGGCTGTGAAGGCCTCCAGCCGGTGTGGGTAGTAGGAGAGCCGAAACTTGCTGCAAGGAGAGAATGAGGGTGAGGCAGAGAGGGGCCAGCGGTGCATGGCACCAGCCATCCCCCCCATCAGGAGCCACCCCCACGGCCCCTCTCACCTCATCTCTGGGGCTGCCCCTGCTTCGGTGGGGGGAACCTGCACTGTGTAGTCCAGGGTCACCATGTGTGCCTTGTTGTTTACCAGCAGCACTGAGGTGGTGATGTCCTTGGTCAAATCACTCTGGAGACCACAGGAGGACATCTGTGTCCTGGGGGAGTGCTGTGGCCCCCCTAGCCTGGGCACAGCCTTGCTCCCTGCCCTGCTCCTTGCCCTGCCTGGCCTCCTTGGGGCCAGGGGGCTGGGGTTGGGACAGGGGGAAGTGGGATGGGGGCAGGGTCTGCCAGCCACCCACCTTGTAGTAGATGTTCTTGCCAGGTGGTGCACAGCCAGTGGCCAGAATGTGATCATAGTTGCGGTGGTCAATGACCAAGACACCCCCGGGCCGCACCATGCTGGCGATGTTCCTCAGGGCCAGCTTGTGGTCACTCTGGTCCCCTGGGGAGGAAACCGTGGGGTTCCCCGGACACTGGCTGTACCCCATGGCACAGCCCATAGGGCCTCATCTCGATCTCGGCCATAGACACCTCAGGCACGTTCTCAGCCTCACTGGGCCAGAGCATGCCATGTGGGGAAACCACCACCCCGCTTGTGGCACAAGTCTGGGTGTGTCTCCAGTCTTGCCAGAGATGTGACAAAGAGGCACACAGCGCCACCACACGACCCAACAATGGCCCCACTCATGCCACGAAGTGGGGCACTTTCTCAGCCTCCCTGGAGACATGCCATGAAACAGCAACACCACTCTGCGTAATCCACTGCCCAACTTATGACATGAGTTAGGGCATGGTCTCAGCCTGCCAGGAGATGCTGTACATATGTGTATAGGTACCCCCTCACCCCAACTCACCTTTGAAGTCAGGCAGGTGCGCGAAGGAGTTGCCCAGGCAGATGACTGCATCAAACCCATCCCCTGGCTTCTCCAGGTCCTTCTCCAGTGTGAGCCAGTTGGCCTCCTCGATGACTGCAGCACAGGGGAGCGGATGAGAGCAGGGCCACCCCTCACCTACCCGGCAGCCTCCCCTGCATGCAAGAACCCCCCCCCCCCCCCCCCAGCCCTGCCTGGGCCCCGGTGGGTGCTGGATCCAGCCTGGGACCAGCAAGCAGGCCAGGGCCATGGCCTGGGCTTGCCGAGCCGAGCAGCCAGCGCCAGCAGGTCCCTGCAGCAAGGCCACCTGGCCCAGCAGCACCCACGCAAGGGGCCTGAGCCCACCACGAGGGGCTGGGAGGGGTTCAGGGCAGAGGTCCCCAGCGCCGGGGTGGGGTGTTGGTGTCCGCGTGCTCCTCCCGGCCCCCGTGGTCCCCGCACCCCATCGGTCGAAGGGCTCCTCCTTGCGCCGCTCCCAGCGCTCCTTCAGCGCGTACTTGAGCATCTTGTCGCTGGCGTCGACGCTGGTCACCTGGAAGCCCTCCTCGAGCAGCATGATGGAGTCCACCCTGGGGACAGGGCTGTCAGCGGGGGGGGGGGCAGCTGAGGGGGCCCAGGGGCGCTGGGGACGGCCGTGGGCAGCGGGGCCCAGGGTAGCCCCGG